ATACTCAGGCTGAAGCTGTGCGTAAAACGAAACCTCAAAATGTTGAAACTAAGCCCTCTGTTAAAGCCAACTCCAAACTTGACAAGCCACCGAATAACACCAAGCATGGCGATGAAAACAAACTCAAAAGTGAGAAAAAGCATCAATCTACCATATCTTCTGGTAGTGAGTCTGGCGATGTGAACACAGATGATGCAGAGAAACCGCAAAAGCCATCGAAAAAGTCCAAAAACAAACATAGCAACATCTCCCGCAAGTGGTCTTCATTGGATGACATCACCAACGAAGAAGACGGAAACTATGAACATGGGAATGAAAGCCAATTTGTGTTCATTGAAAATCAGGAAAAGCCATCAAAGAAGGAAAAGAAAAATGATAAAAAAACTAAAGCTGACAAGAATGTCATGGATAGTGACTTTAAAATTGAAGAGGATGAGCAATCGCAATTTGTTTTCCAGGAGAGTCCGACTGACCCTGCTAAAATCAAGAAGAAAAAGGATGCTCGGAACTACCATAAGGCTAGTAAGCCAGTGCAGGACAAAAAGAAAGCTACTCAGTCGAAGGTTAGACGGAATAAGCCGGGCTACTTGGGTCTAGCTCAGAACTATTTAGAACACTGGGGCGGAGCAACCTGGAAGGCTTTGGTGTGGTTTGCTTATCTAATATCGGACATTTGTGGAATGAGTCTACACTTGCTGTTCGATCTGTAAGTTATAAGTTATTATTAATTTATTAGTTCATAGTATAGTAACATATTACGCTATAATATGTTTTGTTTCCTATTATTTCCTGGATTATGACATACCTGTACATTATGCCATAAATGTGAAAATAAGGAAAATTAATCATATTTTTGTACCTAGTTGTATTACATCTTCAATTGCATATTTCATACATTATAATGTTTAAATAATACCTACTCTAAAGTAGAATAAACTTTTGTACCAGAAAATAACATGAAATTCGCCTGGCAAGCAAAAGGGTTCGATTCCCGCCTTGGGCAGTTCAATTTATTCGAGTTATTTGTTAAAAAAATAAAAAATAGTTCAAAAATATCAAATAAAATGCAGAATCAATTGACTATTTAAACTTGCTATTTCTAGTTGCACATCAGCCTTCACGCAGACGTATGTGAGCTCGCAAGCAGTATGGAGGTCCACCAAGGATTATGTATACAAGATGAGAGACAACAAGTACTTGCTGTACATAGATAGAAAATTTGGACACACGCGCTTCGGGTTTTGGAGGAAGTTGAAGTGGTTTAAAAAAGGTGAGGAAGATGATGGTACTTCATCGTCATCATTTCAGCCATAGGATGTCCACTGCTGAACATAGGTTTCCACTAATGATTTCCGTAATGGTTGGTAGTTGCCTCAGTGGCCTGCATCCATCTTTAACATAGAAAATATGATTGATTGTATTATTACCATGTTAGTTTTAACTTCTTATTATTGTTAAAGTTACGGACATAATATGAAGTACAAACTGACATTTATCTCTATCAAGCAAACCACAAAACACCAAAATACTTATTTATAATACATATTTCCCTCCCTACAAAGTACAATAATACAGTAAACTGTTTTCAAGTAACTGATAATAATATTGAATTTACTTTGCTGCTATGTACTTTGTTGATAGGCTTATCAATCGGCTCATTGTGCCACTGATCTAAAATTGTATATTAACACAGACTACTTTTTTATTACTACTAAATTGTACAGTCAAAATTTTGTACAAAAATGTACAGCCCGAAGTAAATTAGCTACCCATAGACTAATTACATTTTTATTACTACTAATTTGTACAGTCAAAATTTTGTACAAAATTTGTACAAAAATGTAGTCTGAAGTAATTTAGCTACCCATTTTTCGTTTTTCTCTCGCTCTCATCAAATGGCGAATCTTTACGATAGAACGAGATGACATGACCAGAAATGGGTAGCAGGTAGTGTGGCTCATAGTACATACAAAAATACAAAAACAGCGTTAGAGAGTAACAGCCATTGGCATATCTAGGGTTCTTTTTCAGGCCCCTGATATGCCATTTCAGGTGGGGGGAGGGTGCTATTAGTATTAGTATCATATATTTTATAGCTCATGAGTTAGTACTATCAACTATAATCTTCAAATCTTTTTTTACGATAGAACCTTTTTTTTTTTGCAAAATCTAAAAAAAAATGTCTTTTTATCTTCAGCAGAAGTTGAGCCTGACACAGGGAATGATTCAACGAAACTGAACGCCAATATACCGCTGCCGGCTACCGGGGAGGAGGCGATGAAGAGGCTGCTTGCGTGCAAAGGAAAGGACCCTTACAGGTAAAGCTCATAGAGTCCATATTAAAGGCAAACTACAACCCGTTCGAGTTAACTGCGGACCCGGCAGACATGACGTCACATCGACGCTTGGGCGGGGCGAATGCAGGGAGGTGTGCCGGTGAGAGAGTCGCATTCCAACGTGGTGCGTAGTTAGCTCTATCGGGTTGTATATCCGGTACATGTGAAATTTGAATTGTTTTCTGTGGATGTGCCTTTAAACTTTAAACAAATAAATAAACTAAAAATTTACAAGTGCCCTGGACCTTTCCATTTTTATTCAAAATCTCTACAAGTAGATCCTTATCTACTCATAAAGATTTTGAATAAAAAATAAAACACCTACATGCCCTTTAGGCGGTACCGGTGGTAACATTACCCTTCCAGTAGGCCTTAAAAACTCATTCTAAAAGACATTGTAAACGAGCATAAAGCAATATTTCTTCGCTACTTTACATCAATATGTCTGCCATATTGAATAAAAAGTCAATATTGCGTCCAATATAGTGGATATTGGACGCAATATTGACTTTTTTTTATGCCTACTATTTTTCCACTATATTTGACGCAATATCATCCTTTTTTCCTCCACAATCCCCCAATATTGTTTTGTAACCATTATCTATCTATTCCAATTCAAAGACCAAAAAATGTTTTTCATTATTCATTGCCATTATATTGGACGTAACTCTTTTTTCCTCCCCAACATTGTTTTGTATCCATTTCTGTTCCTATTCAAAGTGCCAAAAATGTTTTTTTCCATATTGCCACTATATTGGTCACAATATTGTCTTTTTTCCTCCCCAATATTGTTTTGTAACCATTATATCCCACTCAAAGTACCCAAAAAGTTTTTTTCTGCCGTATTGCCACTATATTGGACATAATATTGTCTTAGGAAAAAATATAAAATATGGGCCAATATTGTTTTGTAACCATTCGATCTCTATCTATACCTATTCAAAGTACCAAAAAAGTTTTTTTCTCCAGTATTCTAGGCGTAAGCGTCCACTGCACAGACGAGGAGATCAAGCGGTACTACCGGCGGCAGGCCTTCCTGGTGCACCCCGACAAGAACCAGCAGCCGGGCGCAGAGGAGGCCTTCAAGATCCTGCAGCACGCCTTCGACCTCATCGGCGAGCCGGTGAGACTTTGAACCTTATCTGATATAGATACAAGGTCGATAATAAGTTAAATCCTTACACCCGCTAGTCATATGGTCGGTGAGACGACTATGAACCTTATTTACTAGCTATAAGATTCACAAGAATTAGTGGCGTATAGGCACCAATTGCCGGGCGCCGAGGAGACCTTCAAGATCCTGCAGCACGCCTTCGACCTCATCGTGGAGCCGTTGAGGGACTTTGATCCTTATCTACTTAATATAAGGTCGACATTTAGATACCAGCCGGGACACCAAACCACTAGCTAAATGGCGCCGAGGAGGCCTTCAAGATACTCCAGCACGCCTTCGAACTCATCGGGGAGCCGGTGAGACTTTGAACCTTATCTACTTAATATAAGGTCGACATTTAGATACCAGCCGGGACACCAAACCACTAGCTAAATGGTGCGAGGAGGCCTTCAAGATACTGCAGCACGCCTTTGACTTCATCGGGGAGCCGGTGAGGGAACTTTGAACCGTATCTACTTGATATATGGTCGACTTTTATATGGATAGACAGCAGCCGAGACGCACTAAAGAGGTGTTCAAGATACTGCAGCACGCCTTCGACCTCATCGGGGAGCCGGTGAGACTTTGAACCTTACCCCATTGCCATAAGGGCCATCCACGTGACATAAGCTTCACAAGAACTAATACGCGTAGGTACCAGCAGCCGGGCGCCAACACGCCTTCGACGTCATCAGGGAGCCGGTTAGAAGACTTTAAACCTTACACGCTTGCCTTAAGTTTGACATTAAGTGGCGCCGAGAAGGCCTTAAAGCTACTACAGCACGCCTTCGACGTCATCAGGGAGCCGGTGAGACGACTTTAAACCTTACACGCTTGCCTTAAGTTTGACATTAAGTGGCGCCGAGAAGGCCTTAAAGCTACTACAGCACGCCTTCGACGTCATCAGGGAGCCGGTGAGACGACTTTAAACCTTACACGCTTGCCTTAAGGTTAGACACTAACTGGCGCCAAGGGTCACCAAGATACTCCAGCACGCTTTTGATCTTATTGGGAAGCCGGTGAGACGACTCTTGACCTTATTATAATAGTTACAAGGTTGATAATAAGTTTTGGGTAGGCTCCAAAAGTCCATCAAGCAGGATTTTATTCATATTGTTAGTAAATAAAGTAATTTCTACCATCAGGAACGAAGAGAAGCGTACGAGAGACGCGCGTTAGAATCGCGACACGTGGAAGCGGCGTGGAGCGAGCTCAGTCAGCTGTTGGCCCAGCTTCATGACAAAATGGAGTTTGCTGCCAACACCATAAGGTATATTTTGCAATACTTATAAAAGTAAAAAGTTGTCACAACTTAAAATTAAACTTGTCTTGTTTATATCATTTGATCATCAGCAGATTGGCTTACTTTGGTTCTCTTTCAGTATTTTTATGTGATAGCTATCCAATGGTTCAGCTGCCACATTCATAATAAAAAACCTTTATTCAAGCAAAGATTACATCAATGATTGTTTTACTGACTTTGTTGTAATTACTAGTCAACTGACCAACAAACTAGGTTCCACCTGTCTATTCTATTGGGCACTGGAGTATGAGGCTTGAGATTAAATGGCGTTGTAAACACTTTATACTCGTTAACAAGTAAACACGAGTTTTTTACTGTCTCAGCAGTTGCCTCATATGAATTTATCGGGGGCCACTAACTCAACCACCTCGTCACTCAGATTTTGTATGACTCAAACATCTTATGGCTCAGCCATGACATGGCTCAACCATCAGATGGCTAATTGTCCCCCGTTGCAGATGCACTAATTGCGGGCGGCGGCACAAGCGAGTGGCAACGGATCGGCCGTGCTACGCCGCTCGCTACTGCTCTCAGTGCAAGATCCGACACTCCGCTAAAGAGGTAAGAGTCATAATAACACATTTAAAAATATTATTAACGCTTAAATGAGTAGCGTTCAATTTGAACCTTTATCCGACTGTTAATGTGTAATAATGGTGAATTATTTATTAACTATAATGGGCGGTTCCACATTAAGCCGACTTTAGCAGCGCGACAAACGCGCAATAGACATGCTGTTGATAATTTCATGACAGCGATAATGTGAAAGCGGTTAAAGACTGAGTTGCACCATCTTAATATAAAAATACAAATTGCTAATAATCTTTTTAAAAAAAAACTTACTTTAACGTCAAAAATCTGTCAAACTCTATACAAAAAACACCGGTTATTGTTTAAGTTACGGTTAAAGTAAGTTTGCCCAACTCAGCCTAAGTGATCGTGTCGTTGCAAATGAAACAAAACAGTGCAACATCACTTTTCAAGTTCTTTCAAGAAGTCCAGAGCAAGTTTCAATAAAGTGCTACATAAAAATCAAAATTATTTTATTCAGTACCAATATTTTGGCACTTATGAACGTCAAACCAAAAAATATGTCTCCTTATCTTTTGGGCCCAACCAGCTCGAAGAAACTAGAAGAAACACTGGAACAAACTCATATTTACTTAAACTCAGGGAAAGGGGCGATATCGTGGATCGTTCATCACTCATTAGTGTCAAGTTGCAGGTTCCCGTAGTTGCACATCGTGCAAACCGCACGAAGTCATAATCCAACTTAGATTAATAAAACCTAGATGGATAGTCTTCATACAAACGCTTCGTCAAGAGTGAGGCAAAAATCTTATGTCATTAGTGTCAATTTTGTTGGGGAGTGTAGACAATGAAGGCGATTTTCCCGAAAGTAGGGAAATTTTTAATACGTTTTTAATTATTTTATAACTAACAAAAACAAAACGCATCATGTACTTACTTATTTATTGAATTCAAAGTACCTACCTAATTACAATAAGATAAATCGACTTAAAAGTCTCGATTTCATAAAAAAGGAAGTGTATTTGTACGGCGAACAATTATTATTGGGAAATAAATTTTCTTGTTACTGGTATCATTCCCGTATTTAATTTTTGAAAGCCAAATTCAAGCAAAATACGCGTCGAATCGTAGTACTTACTTATGAAATGTAACACTGGTCACTTTCTTTAGTTTTTCTGATGTATTTAGACACCCTTTCACAGCACAAACCGTCTTAATTAATTAAAAGTCGTCGGACGTGTTTACCAATTTTTCACTTTGACAGTTCATGTGACGTTTACGAGTAAGCCATTCTGGCTCACTAAAATCTGCCTCACCTTTCGTGCACTGACTATCTTTCTAGGTTTTATTAATCTAAGTAATCCAAACAAAAAATGTATTTATTTGCGCAGGGCGACATCTGGGCGGAGTCGAGCATGCTGGGGCTGCTGGTGATGTACTACGCCTGCATGGACGGCGCCGTCTACCAGATCACGCAGTGGGCCAGCTGCCAGGTACGTACCACGACAATCATGGGCGTACCCAAGGGGAGGGCAGGTCCTCCCACCCCCCTGGAAATCGCTTTGAAGGAGCTAAGTCAAACGATTTGACATAAAAAATAGGACTTACAGACGGATCTCCGCGTCAATAGAATCGAGTGATTTTTCTAAAGGTGCGGCCAAGCCCACGCGTTCAGCCTGCGTCCGTGATAGCGTACATTGTGGCGATCACTGCGCGTGCAAAAATTGTTCACACTGAAGATTTCGAATTTCAGACGTTCACCTTGAAAAACAATTGGTGTTGGTGAAGATACCTTAAAAAGCCCTTGTTATTTTGAACCACTTTCGTCCACTGCTGGACAATACCCTCCTTCACGGATTTTCTGCGCCGCCCGCATCCAGGTACTTCCCACGACTTTCACATCGACAGTCCGTCCACCAACTTTTCTGTCCTAACGGTCAATTACAGTTCTATGATCTAGCTAGACTATAGCAACTTGACTTGGGCGATTCATAAGTTGGATAAAGAGCCTAAATACACTTAAGTTTGAATAAAATAAACGTTATTTATGACAATTATTCGTTTTACCGCAGAAAAAGAACCTAAAACAGTTGCGGCCAGACTGCCACGTGGTGCAGTACCGCATAGTGCTGGGCAACAAGGCGGCCGCCGCCGACCTCAGCCAGCCGCCACACGCAGGGTGAGTTCCCACACGTATTAAACCCTTATAAAGCAGAGGGAATATAGTTCCCACCTTATTTTGAACCTTATTCGCTTGTCTATAAACCAGTGGATCTTAACCTTTCAGTCACCAGGGACCATTTTACCAAATTTCTGTCTTGTCAGGGACCACTTTTTTTTTTAAATCCTATAAAAGGGGAGTTCGGTTTCTCGCCCACTGTGCGCCGTTTGCGTTGTGTTGACTCGACTCATCGAGATGTCTTCGCGGACCACCTGGAATGCCTCCAGGGACCACCAGTGGTCCGCGGACCACCGGTTAAGAACTACTGCTATAAACAATGAAAATTTTGACTATGCTATGACTGTTAAAGGGTTAACGTGAAAAACGCCCGTATTCACAAACATTACTATAAGGTCTCACAGTGCGCGTGGATAACACAGGGTAACACACGAACCAATCACAGAGCTCTATTCAAAGCTGTGCGTTCGATTTGCTGCTTCACTTAAGCAAGCATCGTTTGTGAATACGGGCGTAGGTATCATGATAGGGGGACCGAGGAGAGTTGTGACATTGTCGATTTTTTTGGTACTTTTGAACTACCTACTAGCGAGCTCGTAACAAACAATACGCGGTTTTTAAACCTTAATTCTTTAGAAATTTCCATCGATGTAAACAAACACTTGTGCACACAATTACACTATAATTACTCACGTTTTCTTAATATCATACACATTATTTCACAAGCTCATGAAACCAACTTTATTCTCATGATGAAACAAATATAAAATCTAACATTGAAAACAAAATATTTAACAAAATATTTGGATGGTGAAAATTTGTGCTACATGTTAAAATGTCAAATCGACATTTGACATTTAAATTTAGGTCCTATCTCTGGAAAATCTGTAAGTCATAGACAATATTCATAGATAATAATCTGTAAATTTAATAGATTTTATTTCAAGTATTCAATTATTTCAATTACCAATTACTTTGATAATATTAATTTAAAATAAAATATAAACGAGGTTATATTCAACAATGTATTTTGTCTTCATTGAATGCAACAACACACTTTGCGAAGAAGTCTTTGAATTCAGCTTTATTATACAGCAGTGTCACATAAATTATATTTCCTAAACAAATAAAAAAGGGAATATTAAATTTTCTTTGATTAAGATCCTATTTTGACGATCACATTACTGATCTCAACATCAATCAGAAGAGGGATTGATCTTAATAATTACAAACGATCTTTGAAAATCTAATAATCGTCTGTTGCAGTCCAGTAAATGACATTTACAGAATTGCGATTAACGAGAGATTTTGTCGCATCACTAGTAGATCAACTGACATAGACTAAAAATTCGTCAATGTCAGTTGGCCATATTTGTTTACATTTAGAGAAATTTCTAAAGAATTAAGGTATAGTTCAAGTCTCGAGCTAACAAATACGCGCTATTGCGAGCTCGCTGATAGGTAAAAGGTTTCCAAAAATCGACAATGTCACAACCCTCCTCGTTCTCCCCTAAATACAACCCGGTTGAGTTAACTGCGCACCTGGCATCAATGACGTCACATTGACGCTGGGTGTGGGAGGGAGAGTCGCATTCCATTAATGTGCGCCGCGCCGTTAGCTCGATCGGGTTGTACTGATTATCCACAAAATACACGGGATATTTGAAGCACTGTCCACACTGTCAAGAATGAACTTTTAATTTATCGTCGACCAGAAGATGAGCACGCGCAAGCTAAATTCTCAATCCAGTACCTCTATTACGAAAAACTTTCGAGTTCGTTTCGTTGCGTATTCAAAGTGTCATCGAAAAATTTTGTATGAAAAATTAAACAGCGCCCCCTAGGGCGGCTATAATATAGGGGGCGCTGTTTAATTTTTCATACAAAATTTTTCGATGACACTTTGAATACGCAACGAAACGAACTCGAAAGTTTTTCCTACTAGAGGTACAGAAACTGAGCCATGGACTGTAAAACTGGTACTGACCGATTGAGCTAATTGCGCACCTCGCTGGAATGCGATTCTCCCTGCCACTTACCCGCAAACCTCCTTGCGTTTGCCCCGTCAGAATTAAGGGGCGAGGTGTGAGCTTACTTCAAACGCAGTCAATATCGAATGCGTTTGACGTAAACTCACACTGAGCGTCGATGTGACGCCACGGCTGCCAGGTGCTCAGTTAACTCGACTGGGTTGTATATTTTTATTTATACTAAACTTCGCCTAATAGGGAATATGCATCGATTTGAAAAGTTAATAAATTATGTATAAATAAACACTTTAGTTAAATCATAGAATTTCTGAAAAACTAGTATTATAATCGGACTGGAAATAAAAAAGTTACAAGTGTTTAAACTTTGTATGAAAACAACTGAGCGTCAAATGTCACGCGCCCATAGTAATATGTATGGGACTCTGCGTGTCGTTCTAACATGACGTCATTGGTCATGAGATTTCTAACTTCTATATCTTAAGTATCTTTTGAAATTTTTATTAAAGAAAAGCACTGATTGATTTGATAATGCCAAGGGTACTGAAATGTGAAAAATAAAAAAAACCTTGCATATTCAGTTCAGTATTATAAGCGTCAAAATGTGTAAACATCTTTCTCGTTTTCTTAACGTATGTATGTATGTTTGTTGCAGGCACGAACCAAACTTGGAGGAGTTCCTGAACACTTTGTACCGCGGCGCGCCGCCCGCGCCTGAGCCTGACAAGCGGCGCCGCGCGCGCAAACCTAAGCAGTAAGACCGCTACTATACCGGGTAGGGACAGAAAACCGCTTGCTATATCGCTTACACCGGGTTCCCACTATGCCGGACCGGCAGATCTCCCGGTCCGGTAAAATCGCCGGAAGGCCTAGCGGCGGTACAAATTGTATGAGGCCGCTTGTAAAAATCCGTTTTTTTGACCGGACAACGGCCCGATTTTTTTCACCGGATTTAGCGGTGGCGTACGGTTTATAATGAACGTGTGCACATGCATCGGACATAGGTCCGGCGAGAAAATTGACAGCAAACAAAGGATATCCGTTTTTTGACGGTCCGTCGTCCGGTGAAAAAACGGATGTCTACAAACGGACTGAAGCTGTTCACATTATCCCGGATCCGGCA